CCTGTGGCTGGTTTTCAATGGTTCTCTAACTGATATCAATTCGTGGTCAAACTCGAAAAAAATGGTTAGTGTTGTTAGAAGACAAAGTTTCTATGGAAAATGTGATGTGTTTTCTCAGTACAATTCAAACAATATGATCAGACATTGATTTGTCAAGTTAATTCATATGAAACACAAAAGGCCAATTAAAATAAATAATGTTATGAGGGATTTAAGCATAAGAGTAATAGGAATAATTAACACTACATTTACTAATATAATCCTCAGATAAAGATTAACAAGATTGGTTAACAGTAATAATTAAATTGTTTTTGTACACACATGGAAGAGTGAGGGGAGGGGGTTACGTTTGCGAATAGCCATGATCTGTGTGTATTGCAGTCAACCCCCCTAGCTGTTTTTTTAGAAATCATCTTGGAAGCTGTTTTTTGATATCACTGTTGTGAGTCATATCAATTCTTTAGATAATCTCCGTCTTTCTAATAACACTATGTAAATTTATTAAAGCGATGGATTGTTTTAGATGTTTGGAAAGGTGACTCTCTCTACACCATACACTATTAAACGACCTGCTTAACCTTACCTTAAGTGTAAAGCAGTAGCATACATAACATACATTGTGTGAAATTATTCTGATTTTTAACTTTCTTTTTTTGTAAACATATTTATTTTAAGAAGCAAATACCTGTGTGTGTGGCCTGAAAATATGGATTCAAACTGAATCTTGTTTTCGTGTGTAGTGTGTAATTTCGATTGTTAGTTTTCATGTATGTATGTGTGTGTGTTTGTGTATAGCAGATTAGACTACTACTGATTGGTACTCATGGTACTTAAAGTTTATTTGATTACCTACTATTGTTTTAAGGGTGAGTGTAGTTTACATTAGGTCTAGAGATCTCATAAAGGTGGTTGTTGTAACGTTGAGTGACCAGTGTGAGTCAGAGGGTAGCCAGGCCTTGACTTTAGATGAATGAAGAGTCTTTTTGTTGACTTCTTCCAACTAATGAAGAATAGAACAACACATAAAGGAGCAATATTGGGCAACAGTAAAGAACAGATACCAGTAACGGATGACCTTGGGCTAGCCAATCATATTCTTCTAGGTGAAATGCAGCATTTTAGTGCAGAAAAGTATGTCTATAGCATATATATATATATACATATATATAATACATCGTATATGTCTCCGATATACTTCGAGAACATGTCTCAGTCCTTAGTAGAAGTAGTTATACACATAAACCATTCTAATCCGTTTTTTATACACCCATAATCCTTCAGTCGAATTTGTGCGAGTACCAGTTTTAGCATGTATTAATCCTGATGAATGATTGATTTTATGTTGAATGGATCTTGATGACGATAGCAACAAAGTATAAAATTTCAGATGGATGCTGTCTATAATCTTCGGCGCAAGTTTCATGCTAACCTTACTCTGACCCTAACCCCCTAGTCTTAAACCAGAGTGAAACTTACATCGAAGACTATGAAAAGCATCCTTTTGTAATTGTTGACCGATCTGATTGGTCAATTCAGGGTCAATTGGCCGTGGTACCTACCTATTCTTTACTCTTGTCCAGTATTGTTTGTAAATCAGATATATATGTATCATCAGGCTTTACTCTAATATGCAAAACTTTACAAATAAATATTAAATATCAACCAATAGTTATGGTGTGATTTGTACATAGAATGATAAGACTGTGCATATGATTTGTGCATTTAGTAATAATAATAATAATAATAATTCTGTTAACAACCAAAATGAAAAATTGAAGGGGTCTTTGATAACTAGGTTAGTGAAAAACAGCATGATTAAACAAACAAATATTTAACTAGTGTTCGATTGTAAGGAAAGTAAGCAAATAAGTTATAAATGTATAAATCCTGTAGTCTCAATGCCAATCGCCAGCTCACTGATGATTACTGGATGGATATCCTGAAGCTGCAGTAGGAAGTCATGACCAGTGGGGTCCTCCACCATGTCAACGTGAAGTAAACGCTCTTCATCGTTAGCATTGGTGAGGTAAGCTCTATATCATCACAAGTTGACAGAGTTAGAATTCAGGATTCTTTGAATTCCAGCTCAAGTGGTTGTGATGGTCAATGAGGGGTTGGTCTTGTAACTTGAAGTTCCCTTGCGGGGTTGTGGGCGCGCATTTCTGAAGAGTCTCGAACTAGGATGAAACAGCTGACCAGTGATCCCTGGTGTTCAATAATCTCTCTAATTGATGTTGACTAGTGATGAAAATTTAACGATCCATATTACTGATTATTAAATGCTTGGAAAACACTTGGAATCTAGACAGCATGACACGATGGTTGATATTTCTAATGATCGACTGGAGGTAGACGGAAGTGAATTTTCAGTGCACAAAAGCGCACCACTTCTGGTCACCACACGCATAAAGGTAGAGAGAAAAGGGAACTACTACAAGAAAGAGAAGAAATGTTCAGTGGATAGAATAATTACATGAAGAACAATGAGGATTCAATGAATCTTGGCGACATGACGAAGAGTGAATATCTATCTATCTGCACTACTGAAAATGACTTTGAGCTTTATTTACCAGCAATAGTCTACACCTCTGTGTATGGGCTCAAGCCAACACAGTAATCCTACTTATTGTTGGCTGGTACACCTTTGACAAAAATCGCATATCACCCCTTCATGATCACAGCCTACATTACATGCACTGTTGAAGTCATAACTGGCTTTTTGAGAGAAAATTCCTTTCCGACTGTTGTTGGTCTAAACAACCATTGATATATATATATATATATATATATACTCATTTTTCTGTATTCAATATTGAAACATGTTTTGGCGTGTTGTATATTCCTTTTTGACAGCTTATTTTTCTACTTTGTCTAACTAATATGATAATTCCAAGTAGATGCACATACACACACGCACACACACAGGCATCCATGCGTCTGTTTTTAACGTATTCACAGTTGTTATGTATGGCATGTGTGATAACTGTATCGTTTAGCATTATTTTTATTACTATTATTATTATTTTACATATTTTACACGTTTGTGTTTCAAGATAACGACAATGCACTAATTATTGTGATGATGATAATATAGTAGTAGTGTGGTGTGTGTGCTACTGATAAGATCTATCAGTAGTAGTGCATAAAGAGAAGTTTACCGGCGAAAAAAAAGAGATATCAAATAGCAGACAGATAGGTTTGACATCAAAGAGAGCCAATGATTCAGCGTTACGGCAAAACAAGACATGGAAAACACTAGAAGAAGACGAAGAAACACAATATGAAGGGCAGATGGGCAGCATAACACGGAAGATCTGTGCAAATGATGATTTGGAGATACCGAATTCCCCACCTCCCCCCCAAAGAACACATTCCTTTACCAAGTCTCTTGCCTTCTACCGTTACAGTAGTAGTAACAGTTGTAGGATTTGTGGTGGTTTCATATCCTCTTTAATGTGCTTACATGATGCTTCCTTCTTATTTCACATTTCTTCTGAAAATCATTTGTGAGTTATACATGATTCAGTTTTTTCCCTAGACCGCTGGTTGAAAAAACTCTAAATGAGTGAAGTGAAATTAAGAGTCTATTTATCAACTGAATTTTGTAGAGGGCTAAACTAGTAATGAATGTTACAGGATTTCATCATGAGCTGACATCAGTTAGACAACTATTGGAAAACCAACTGGGAGTACTGGACAGCTGTTTCGTCCTAGTTTGGGACTCTTCACAGTATGCACCCACACTGTGGGGTTCGAACCCAGGACCTTCTGGTTACAAGGCGAGCACGTATACCATTAAGCAACTGGGACCTGATCCAATGGCAAACCCATGAATTCTAACTTCTGCCAATTCACGATATAGCGCAACCGCTAGCCAATGTCTTCAGAGAGTATTTGTCCTCATACCCAACCTGCTGCACCCTACTGGTCACGACCTTGTAGCCAGAAGGTCCTGGTTTCGAACCCCGGTGGGTGCGTTCTGTTGAAGAGTCCCAAACTAGGACGAAACAGCTGTCCAGTACTCCCAGTTGGTTTTCCAATGGTTCTCTAACTGATGTCAGCTCATGATGAAATCCTGTAACCAATCAAATCCCTACAAACCAATACTTGAATAGTAATGAATGTGTGTATGTATATTACTCTTCAGATGTTATTCGCCTTTGGCAATACGCCACATTTATTATCTGAGGGTTGATGATGATGATGATGCTATGCGGTTGCCTAAACTCTCATAAGCGAAACAAGGATGGATCCACGTCATACCTATTGGTTAGTAGTCATAGTTCACAAGCGATTTCGAATTCAATTGCAAGCCAAGCTTTTTTCTTACCACCTCCAATCATGACCCATTCTATCAATAACATGTATGGCCTATAGTCAGATTTTAGACTGTTTTGTAGTATATTTTGGTCATAGAATCTTGAATTTGTGTTTTCTTTAATATTGATTGAATTTCAGTGGCCTGGGCATTTGACTTCCGATCTCCGGGTTACGGGTTCCAACCTCGTTCCATACCATATACGAAGGTGCAGGGGTGGTAACCAAGTAGTATCGCTGCATTTTGTTGCATAACTGATTGGTGAACATAATGCACTACTGACTAATACATGCGAGGACTGATCAGTGTCGTCTATTTGGCGTTTAGTGTTAGAGCTAGTTACTAGCTTTTATCAGTCCAGTTCATAGTGTGATGAGCAAGTTTAATGGTTGGAGACAATGGACACGAAGCTCTGGATATGTTTTTTGTGTGCTTATTTGCTGGCAATTGTTAGCAAGGTGTACCTGCAACTACCATAGAAACTGATGCCTGCATCAAGCGTGCTGATACACACCTTGTTGACGAGTGCTGCTAACAAGTACAAAACACAAGGTCCAATGCATTCTCTAGACTGCCCTTGACCATTTAAATTCTGCCCTTTTTTTATTCATATTGAAAATGTAATACTGGACACACTGTGACTCTTTTCTTTAATTGTATCTTTTTTATTTTGCTTTTCTAGTCACCAACATCTACCTCGACTGATCTGTTACGACATTATCACCATCGTCATTATAATCGGCATAGTCATCATTCGTCGAAGAAGCAACACCACCAACAACAACAGGAGGAGCATCCAGACCACCATCCTATTTACTCGTATAATACTCATTATGAGAATAATCATCTACCAGGATCAGTTCATTTAACACCGAAAAATAATACAAGTATCAAACAAAGAATCAATAATAACAGTAATAATAATAATGATAATACTGTTGCTGGTATTACTACTATGACTACGACTACTACGGAGATTAATACAAACAACACTACCAATTATTCTCACTTATCTCCAATCTATCCATGTAATAATAGTCTTATGAGTAATAATAATAACAATAATAATAATAATAATACTAGCAATCATCATCATCATCATCAACACTCTCGTCATAATAATTATTCCAATGAAATAATGAACAATATTAATTCCAGTGAAAAATTAGATCATTCAGCTGTCCAGTGTATGAATGAATCATTACCAAATTATAGTCCATATTATTTTACAACTATTACATCAGTGTCATCAATGCCTTCTCTGCCCAATTCATCAGTATCAACAGCATCTCCATTATCTCCTCAGTCAATGACGACATTATATAATAAAACAAATCAAAACAGATCAAATAATAATAATAATAATAGTAATAGTAATAATAATGGTGTTAATGACGACAATGACAGAAATATTCAATTCACTGAATATTCTTCAATGAATTCATTAAATCATCATTCTGACATGATGATGAATATTACATCATCATCGTCGTCATCACCAGGAGTATGGAATTCTCAAATAAAGGTAATTTATTACATTATTAACGTATTTCCTCTGTGTGTATGTGTCTCTTTCTCACTCCTTTGTCTTCCGAGTGTAACACAGGACTTCAGTCTCATTGAAGTTCCATGTGGTAGTGGTGGTGGTGGTGCTGTTGCTAGCCTCTCTCCCTCTTTCCATGGATCACCTACTGCCTAGTCAGGTTGAGGTGTAGGAATGCATCGGCCAGTAAATGAATCCTGGACCTCCCACGTGGTTAAGGAGCATTCTGCCGTCGAACCACCGAAGTACAACAATAAATACAATTGTGATAATTAACGTATTCTATAAAAACTATTTTGATTCTACGAATGGAACTTAGCTAGTTTACTTGGTATATAAAGATGTAAAGGGGATTGGAGGTGGACATTCCAACCGCTATCACGCTCTTTTCCAACCAAAAGTATCGACTCTCCTTAAGACTAAGTTATGTTTAGTTAGGAATTAATAACTTAGAGTAATTTTTTTATGTATGAGACTTTGACGTATAACACAGATTTCCTCAAACTAAGGTATGTTGAGTGGGATTCGAACCTGGCACATATTGGTTGAAAGTCAATTTCTAAAGCCAGTAATCCTCAATATCCATACTGTTAGAGACACCATTCTTAATGACTAATTACTTCAGGTAGTAGCTGCTAGTCAGTCAGGTTTTATCTTGAGTTATGAAACATCATGCATATTCACACTGTAGACTACAGAATATTGTGTATTATCCTGTATCATAAAAGTTTCAAACCCTAAGATTGCTCTTTGTTGTTGTGAGTGTCTATTTGGTGGAACTTGATTAGCTTCAAGTTAGACCACTAACTAATTCAAGACAGAAAACCATTGAAAACCAATGACTACTGGAAAGCATATTAATCCTAGTTTGACCATCCGAGGTAATATGCAGTCAGGACCTCACCGGGGAACGAGAACTAGAACTAAACAGCTATCCAGCACTCCTGGGTTTCCAGTGGTCCTCTAGCTGAAGTCTGTTGGTGATTTAACCCACGCAAACCAACACTTGAACATTAAGCTACTGGTCACTCGTGACTGACTGCAGGATGAAGCTGTTTGGAGTTGTGGTGAAAATTCGTGACCAGGAAGGTTCCACCAAGTCAGGGGGAGAACAGAAACTGATTGATGACGTCAGCTAGAATTGGTGCCGTACATCATGAATCGGCGACAATTAGAATTGATGGGTTATTAGATTTCGTCCTTTGTGAGGTCGTTGCCGCGTAATAGTGTAGTATCCCAAACTAGGACGAAACAGTTATTCAGTACTTCTTGGCTTCTAGTGGTTATCTAGCTGATGTCGCCTCTTGACTTAGCTTGATGTCTTTTTCGTGTAATAATTTTGTTAGTTATTTCCAAATTGTTGGAAATTCGAAAATCTGTGTAATAATGTGTACTACACGACACCATGATGTCATTTTATTCTTTCTGTAAGAATTTTTCCCCCTATTTAGTGAATTTGAAAGTTTGAAAACTTTTCAAACAGATTAGTCTCATATTTTTTGGTTTTCCTATATGGTTTTTTCAGTATTTTTTGGTATATCTAGCTATTAGTTGGGTGGTGTACGAGTGTTTTTGTTGGGAGAGTTTATAAGTCCGTATGTCTTCTTTTTTGTCCGAAGACTGTTAAGAATTTCAGTATACTGGAATAAGTGATAAATAAACTAGGGTAAATGACATAAAGACCAGTGATCTAGTGCATTGCATAGACGCCAAGTGACATTTCACTTTTTTCCTGAAATGTACAACAGTATCTTCACCGTGGTTGTCTATTAATTTTTAACATATCCCATTTAATGTAGATAGTTATTAACCTGGAACTGTAATTATTACTTATATTTTTAATTAGTTACGATACTTGATTTTTAACTTATGAGTGAATAGGTTCAACTGTTACACTCTACCTACTGAAATTTTAACAGTTAAACAGGAGAGTTATCATCCCCAATCATTGCTTGCATTCATTCAGTGCATACACGATTGTTGAGAGTTACATTTTATCTGTCTGTCACCGAGTGCTCATATTTCTGTATTTTTGATATCTACCACTCTTCTTTATCTGCGTCAGTGGTCCACTGGTAGAATGTTAGGTTTCGATTCCTGGCGCATGTACTCGTAAACCTCGCCTAGTTCATTAACTATTTGTAAGCCCAGAAAGGTAGAAGTGAGACTAGCATACCATCCAGTTAGAAAAACACCATCACTACTGACACTCCAAAGCTTGCACTTAAAGCCTTATGCGCTCCATTTGGAAGATAAGAAAGGAAAAGAAAATCAAACAAAACAATCAAACAAAATCCCCTCAAAACCAAAACTTGAAAATTAGTCTGATGCTCACTGGCGACTAGTCCTATTCAGACAGTTAACCTGTGGTTTTAGATGGAAGGCGTGACCAGTAGGGTACAGCAGGTTGAAGGTGAGGCAGCAACTCACCAAAAAAGGCATTGCGAAGTGGTCGCGTTATGTCATGAATTGGCAGAAGTTGGAATTCATGAGTTGGCCATTGCATCGCGTCGCAGTGACTTAATGGTCTACGAGCTCTTTGGCCTTATAACCAGGATGTCCTGGGTTCGAACCTCCTTCGGTGGGTGCGTACTGACGAAGAGTCCCAGACTAGGCTGACGAAACAACTGGCTGTCCAGTACTCCCAGTTGGTTTTCCAATTGTTCTCTAAGTGATGTTAGCTTATGATAAAATCCTCCAACCAATCAAATAAAATCCCTACACAACCAATACGTGAAAAAGAAAATCAATCTTCTTATCTCATGTCGCTTTCTTAGAAATAGGCCTCTTTGTTTTGTTTTTGATTTGGAGAAAAATATTTATTTACTGTGTCACTCAGTCATAAGCAGAAAAATAATTCTGCTTGAGATTTTATTCGAGTATTTTCTTTGTCTTTTGTTTTCACAGTATATACCTATATTTGATATTTCTCATCTTACTAACATCATGTTGGAGTCTTCCTTTATTTAAACTTCAAGAAAGATTTGTTCACTAGCACTGATTGTGTGAAGCAAACACCTCATCAGTATCGGTTTCCTAATGGTAGTAACAATAATAATCATAAACATTTACTTGGGGTTTTGCACTTCACCTATAGCCTCTGTAGTACTGCTGTATAAAGAAGGGACGTCAGTAGCCTTATGTAGGATTCGCAATGAGGCTGGATTTAGGGTGGAATTTAAACCAACCAACCAACCAACTCTCTCAGAGATAAACTTTGTTGGCTTAAGGAATAGAAGAGCGTAATTTAACAAATACCATGTAATGACCGCGAGTGAGGTCAATTGCATAGGTCGAACTAGTAGGTTAGGGTGAAATAGATTATTGGGGGTGTGAAAACTCAGTTAGACCTGGGATGATGATTACCACTTCGAAATTAAATAACCTGGAAAAAAGCTCAGTCATAGCATTGCATTCACTTGGATGTAATCACAAAATAGGGTGTGTGGGAGAGGGTGAGAGTATTAAGAAGTTGTATAGTTAGACGGAGAGAGAGGTTAGTCACTGAATCTTTGTTTATTGATTGAACATCACACACATGCAATCGAAATGACGCAACACCTATACTGGAGATGTGGAAAGTGGCAACAAACAACAAAGGGAAGTTGTAGAGGCAGGCAGAAACAGAGAAAGAAATAATGTATAAGACAAATTGTGAAACCGTGTGACTAAAATTGAAATGATAATGAGCAACAATAATTTTTGGTCATAACGTCATCCAGTTAATAATGCTGCATCGCTGTGTGACATTTAAAATAAACTTATCTAATATAGAATTGCATTCTACCACAGTGCCCAAGTTTTACACTTATATTCACCTATAGTTTTCCTGAAAAGCAGGCTATTAACCCAAACTTGCATATATATATATATATATATATATATATATATATATATAGTGTTCATTTATGTCTATTACATACATGTTCACACACTCTGCGTTATTAACTATTCTCCTTATGTGACGACTATCTAGTTGTCCAAATTTAGGGTTTTGAGTGGGGGATCGTTCCGTGTACTAATTCACTTGTGGAAAACTGACTGTTTAGGCTAATGAAGCACAAATTCATAATTCAGAGTTATATTAAACAACATGTGATAGGGATTACCATTTATTTTTGGCATTATTTTAAGTAGGTGATATTTATGTTCAGGTGGTGATGGTAAGGTATTAAGTGGTGAAATGGTAAAATGGACATCTGAGTCACAAGAAGGTTCGAATCAATGGTCTCAGAGAGATTTCCAATCTAGCAATCTCCTACCAGTTGAGCTACAAGACTCAATTGTTAACCAGTAATGATTGTCAAACACCTATACATGTAGTCTTTGACTATGGGTTGGAGCTATATAGACAGTGGTGTAGATTGTATGACTGGAGATGCTAAGAACCTATGACTGGATATGTATGCCTCAAAATCATCCTCAGTGGTGGTGGTGGTGATCTATATTCTACGTATTGCACTCATTATAGTTTCACTGTCTTCCTTTACTTTACCTTTTGTGTATATATGCTTTTATGAAGTGGGGAAACTTGTGCAAAGTTCTACACTGAAACCTCCATTCATTTCAGTGCTAACCAGGACAATACTTTACTGCAATCATCACTAGTTATTTGTCAGATGTTATGTGAATAAATGAAACACGATTGTCTCTTTTTCGCCTCATTAGTTATCCATCTATGTAATCTCCTATCATCATTCTTAACCATACTTAATTAGAAGGTGAAGGAGGAGCGCCTTGTCAATGGATAGTGAAAATATCTGGAATAGCCTCGGGTAGGTAGTGTAGTGATAAACGGACGGTTAAGTATCATTCGTCAACATGGCATCTGGGAATTACAAGTAATGATTGCAGTTAAATGATGACATAGTTATCAGTTGGTAGTCTATAAGGTAGCTATTCTGAATTTTGTCTTGGCTACCATGGCTACCACAGGTAATCTTACTACCCCAGTATCTATGATTTTTAAATATTTACACATATACACACATAGCTATACAATTTCACCTATTATATTATTACTGTATTGTAATATTGTTTGTATGATTTTTGAGAGGGTGGCAGGATGCACAAATTAAAGCTGAACTTATTTTCCTCTTAAGTTTTCGTCTTGAATCGCAGTGTATAAATCATCAGAAGATGTTACACATTTTCATTATTAATGAAGGCGAAAACACTATTGTTCACCGTTCACATTCCTTTCAGATTCCATAGATGGTCATTTCTTTAAATGCTTCAATGTAGCCAAGAGCATGGTAAGCTTCGTCTTCATTTAGACGTGTGAATAATCATACTACCGCACGCTTATTGTGTCGGTAGATAAAGGAGCGTGTGCCACCCCGTTATTCTGTTGTTATGCTTCAGGTACCGAGAACAGTATAGAATTTTTTTTCTACATATTTCATAATTATTTTGTCCTTTTATTACGTTTCTGTTATCTTTTCAACTTGTTTATTGTGGGTTTTTTTGCATACCGTGCTTATATTTTAGATGGAGTGTGTTCCCCCGCAGAAAATTGACAAGACAACATATGGTAAGCATGAATGCGTCTTTTTCTTTGTCGTTTCTTTTGCCTACATAAAAACTTAGTTGTCTGTGTGTGTATGTGTGTATATATGTGTGTTTGTATCAAACAATCACTCCATAAAGAGCCTGATTTTCTAAATCTTAACACAGAGTATCAGGTTTTCTTTGCTAGTGGAAAGAAGCTTGCAATGCACACTTGACAGTTGTTTCACTCACTCACTCACTCGCTCATTGAAATGATTTCTTATCAACTGAATTTTTGATCGGATCTTTTGATCCCTTAGATGAATGCATGAAACACCTTAATCTGTTGATATAACTTTAACAGTGTCAAACAGTAATGTATAATTAGCAGATAGTTATTGTTTGATGCAAGAGTTTACATGTACCTTCTAATTAGTTCATTATGTGACATCGCTTAACGTGTTGAATGCACCTTACAGGTTAGCCTCAACCCGGGCGTTATTTTTCCGGCTGTTGTGTGGCTTTAAACAACAAGATGACATTAGTCAAAGTGTATCACATTAGTTAATTTCGACAGAGTTAATTCAGTAATAGTCTATCTTCTTATCAATGTTTCAATAGTAGGATAGTAGTCGGGCTCAAAATTGCACCAAGTTAATTAATATAGTTACACTCTGTCTGTCTGTCTGTCTGGGTTCAACATAGAACTTGGGACCGAAGTGCAGCAGTTCGAGTTGCCACGTTCCAAATAGCACACAAAGGTAGACAAAAAAATGAGTGAAGAGAATCAATAGAGTTTTGACAGGTATAAGAGTGAAACAGGATGAGTAATGGTAGAAAGGAATATGAAAGATTACAGAGACTGAATACATCTGCGTAAGCCATTGACAACGATTTTAGCCATATCACCTATTGTCTCCAGCCATTGATTCTTAGAGTCCTGAGAGCCCCAACCCGGAAGTCTGCATCTCCCTACCTGACTCAGTTTAACTGTCAAGGATTTCATGGATTGATGCCATGTTTTTGTTTGGCCACCACTTAGTTACACAATAATATTTTGATGTGACAAATATAATAAATTGCCTCTGTTCAAGTCATAAAATCACTTTCAGTGTGTGTAGTCTTGAGAAGATTTATGTGTTTTTTTCTAAAAATAATTTTTCAACCCACATTACCCTTTCGATTGATGTACTTCATGCTAAACAGGATCATATTGAGTTAATGTTTGACCTCCAGTTCTCATACTTTTGCCTCTTTGGAACATGTATTTCGAATTACTTAATCAATCATGTGTTATACATGTTACATAAGGTGATGTTTGTGTAGAATTTATTGTGTTCTCTGGACTGGATGGTTTTATTTCTACACTCTCAATTTCCTTCAAAATGAAGTTACGGCTGAAGATGTTGTGTAGAACATCATGAGTGTTGCGTGATGAGACAGTCCTAGAGACAGTCGTCTAGGAGGTGTACAATTTTTGGGGTCAGTCTTTCCCAAGCCGTCCTTCCCACCCAGAGAAGAGATGCATCACAGCTAATCTGACGGTCGTCTGAGGCAAACACCTATTCGCCAGCAGTGGGACTTTACCCCCAGACCTCCAACTGTGATTGTAACTTCGTTTCGTCTAACCACCGTTTGCACAATCTTTCTGATATGGTATGACTTACAGCAGAATTTGTTCCAACCAGTGTAGTTATTTGGATCGTTGGGATATACAAGCCCGATCCCTATGTTATCAGTCAGGGTTGTGCAGAAGGAAGGGTTAACAATTCAATCACCCTATTCAGAAGATAAGATAACATCAAAATCATTCACCTGAGATACAAGTCTTTACCATTATTTCAATAATTCTGTCAGTTTTACAACACAATAGATTCCATAATAGAATAACTTTTCTTTCGACTTAATGCACAGTGATACACTGTTATTACCTACTCACTAATGATGATATTTCAAGTACAATACTGTGTCCTAACTGTGTATATTACATAGAGTTACACTCTACCACAGTGTCCATTTTATATTCTTATGTGAACACTGCAATCGTTTAAAATTCACTTAACTCGAATTTACTTGTTTTGGTGGTGGTGTTAGCAGCGTAATCTAGGACACGCGTTTCGTCCTACCTGGGACTCATCACTGAATGTACTTTCTTCTCAGTGAATGATGGTGTTGTTTCTACTGCCACTTGAACACAGCATCAATCGCTTCAAACGCCAAGGATTACTATATCCCCTGAAGTTTGAAAAAGCTTAATTCATACACCTTTGGTAAGGTTTCTACATACTGTGAAGTTGGTTTGTTGAGTTCGCTTGGTGTCTAGAATCTTTCAGATGTTACAGAATTGAACTGTGAGGTGAGGAGGATCGTTCTTCTTTTCTGTAAAACCATAAAGGTAAATGTTCGATAATAAGTTTGGTACTGAGTGCAGCCGACGTATCTGGCTAGCTGCACAGGAGAGCAGGTGATAACAATGAATGAATATATCTGTACCGTTACAAACGGCTTTTCAGCCGTCTCACTATCAGTCTTCAGCCATTAATAAACAACAGTACTTAACCTTTTTTGACTGATGAAATCTTTCTGCTGTGTCAAGTTAAACATGGCGTTGATCCGTTTTAAAATCCTTGAAACTGATCACAAATATACCATTTCCCAGACAAATTATGACCTGATAGTCTTAGCAATAAAGATATTTGTATTGTAACCAATACAATCTGAAGAAATCATACAGTCAATTACGTAATACTTATGTCATACACTGAAAGAACGATAACATCTTACACACGATAACTCATACACTCATTCCTTCATCCATTCATTGTCTGTCTCTCTGTCTGTCGCATTTTGTATCAATAAGATCGTTTTGTTTATTATTTTTGTGATGATGATGATAATAATAGTAATAATAATGATAACAACAAAGTAATCAATCAGTTACAATTTTTCGATTGAACGTTGAAAACTAGTCTAGATAAGGCTTCTTTATCAATAAGAAAACTTCATCTTTCATGTGTGCGTGCTTATTTTTGGGTTTATGACTGAGTGATCGTGTGTGTGTATGTGCGTTTTTCTCTTGATTTATCTTTGTTTTCTGGTAGAAGAAATAAAGATTATAATTGTGAAAACAAAAGTCAACACGATAACAATAATAATAGTAGTAGTAATAATAATTGTTATGATTAAGAATTGATACTGAAGAAGACTTAAAATTGACAATGATTAGTTATTTTGTGATTGGGTTGATTTCCCTGGGTAGGGTTGCTAGCCTGACTCCCAACCTTCACTTTTTTCGGGCTTACGACCAGCTATTAAACTAGGCGAGGTGCTGTCTTCGCTCCATGTTAAACATCAGATGGCCAACCAGAAAGGTCTAACTATTATTATTATTATTGTTTCCTTTAATTCCTAGAGGAACATAGGGCTTCAGCCGTGCGTCTCCATTGCGTTCGGTTCTCTGCTAGAGTCTTCACCTGGCTCTAGGTCTGCCCACATGCTTTCATCTCCTCTTCACATGACCTCCTCCAAGTCACCCTTGCACTGACGACCAACTCGCCGCTTCCCTTTCGGGTTCCACTCGAGCAATGGCTTGTCTAGTGATGTCACTTGATGGTTTCCTCAGAGTATGGTCAATCCATTTCCATTTCTTCCTGCCTATTTGTTTCACAATTGGTTCCTGGTTGGTTCGCTCCCAGAGATCCCTGCTGCTGATCTTTTCTGGCCATCTGATCTTGAGTATTGAGTGAAGACAGCTAGCTGTTGATGAAGGTGTGTAGTTTGTTTGAGATGCTCTTTATGACGCGCAGTGCAAGTCTCTGATCCGTATAGTAGCACTGACTTAACATTGGAGTTGAAAATCCGGATGTTATTTTTGATGTTGAGTGTTGCTGACCTCCACACAGACTTGAGATTAGTGAAAGCTTGTCTTGCTTTCCCGATCCTTGCTTTGATATCCTCGTCAGTTCCGTCTGCCTGTAGTTGAAACGATGCTTCCCAGGTAGGTAAAAGAGGTTGTTTCTTTCAGGTTCTTCTCATTTATGCTGATTGTTGTCTGTTATTGTTGCTGTTGGTGTTGCCCAGGAATCTTCATCACCTCTGTTTTCTCTATGTTCACAACAATAAACTCTAGTAACCAACCAACCAACCAAACAAGAATCCATCTCCCAACGGATATGCAGAAGGGAATGGAGATGGGTTGGACACACTGACGAGATTGCTAAGTAACACCGCTCATCAAACCCTCTAAAAGAACCCGGTTGGGAAAGGAGGAATTGGGCTTCGAAATGCGCTGTTGTGGACATCGTGTGAGGAAGATATGAGAGCTCATGGGCAATTTTGAAACCAGCTGAAGAGGACTTCAGAAAACAGGGTGAAATGTAGAAATGTGCTGTTGAAGTCCGATGTCCCATTTAGAACGGAAGGGGATAGTAATAATAATAGTAATAACAGTTGTAGATAGTTAGAGAATACAATCTAAACAATTGCATGTTTTCTGTAACTTTTAATCAGGCCTTATAATTACACAGTAAAATTTTATTATTTACAGACATTAGAAACTAATGTAGCTAACAGAATTAAAAGAAGAATTACTAGTAGATAATAATCAAGCTGGTTGTAATAATAATGATAACAAGGATAAATCCAGTGTTTATATAATCTAGGTAGTCAACTGTTGTGAATATGTGTACATAGAATGTGTACGTTTGTAGGCGTATAGAGAGGAAAAATAAATATGTATATATTTTGTCCTGGTGATTAGATATTTGAGCGTTTATTTTTTAAACAATAAATCATGAAACGAAGATTAGAAGGCGCAGTTATAACACAGTAGGGATCAAATGATAATGATGATAAAGATGACAGTTATAAATAAAGCTAATAGTTATGATTATTCGGTGTCATTGGACATGAAGAACATGGGAGAGGAGTGTGTGTCTGGGAAAACTTTTCCTAATGATGATTGCCTCAGTTATGCTTGGCAATCAAAGGAGTACAAACCTGGTGAATTAAGGTTGGCACCTTGTATAGAATGACAAAGAACTGAATTATTGTCAATCTAACTTTGGGAATATGTAACTCCTGATTGATCTTACAATTCCTTTAATCTAACCACGTTGGACAATGCTCATGAAGGTGATGGTGGGCTTACATATGCAACTATTTCCTTAATAAGAACAGGTAAACTTATAAATGTACAGTAATTCTATTGACTACATCGAAATCAGATACCTATGCTTAATAATTTCATTATGTATTGTTGTAAAACCTGATGAGAAATTATCGTAAACATATATATATATTTCTTCAGATTGTGTTCTCTAACTATTATAATAGGTATATTTAAGTGATAGAGGAAAGCATAGTTAATGTAAATGTAGAACTTGGACACACTGGTAGAGTGTAATTCCATATTAGATAAGTTTATTTTAAATATCACACAGCGAGTGATACAGTATTATTAACTGGATGACGCTTCGAGCAGAATTGATTGTTCATAATCATGTCGATTAATCACAGGACTTCATGATTTGCTTTACATGCGGATTTTTTCCCTCTTTCTCTCTCTTTTCCTCTTGTTGTTTGATACCACTTTCCGTATCTCCGATATAGATGTTGCAACATTTACCCAGAAATGTATGAGGACTCATTGAAAAAATAAGATTAGTAATGAAATGGCTAAAATAAAAATATCATAGAATTGAAAGCCTCTGTAGTACTACCGTATAAAGAAGGAACGTCAGAGGTCTTATGTAGGATTCTCGATGTGACTGGAATCAGGGTGTCATTTAAACAACCAACCAACCAACTCTCTCAGAGGTAAACTTTATTGGCTTAAGGACTCGAAAGATCCAATTAAGAAGAAGAGTATAATTTACCAAATACTATGTAATGACTGTTAGTGAGGTCAATTGCATAGGTCGAACTAGTAGGTCAGGGTGAAATAGATTATTGGGGGCGTGAAAACTCAGCTAGTCCTGGGATGATGATTAACCCTTCGAAATTAAATAACCTAGAAGAAAACTCAGCCATTGCACTGCATTCACTTGGATGTAATCACAAAATAGAGTGTGTGGGACAGGGTGAGGGTAATAGGAAGTAATAAAGTTAGGTGGAGAGAGAGGTTAGTCACTGATTGTTTGTTTATGTATTCAACACCACACACATGCATTTGGAATGACGCAACTCCGCCTATACTGGAGATATGTAAAGTGGCAACAAACAACAAAGGGGAGTTGGAGAGACAGAGGAAGAATGTGTAAGACGAATTGTGAAACCGTGTGACTAAAATTGAAATGATTAAGAGCGACAATAATTTATGCTCAAAACGTCATCCAGTTATTAATGCTGTGTTGTGTTATTTCATTAAATAAACTTATCTAATAAGGAAAGGATAGTGCCTGCGGATATGACGTCTTGAACTACGCAGGAGTATCTAGATCACCTGGCTGGAATTCTTACGTAACATCTCATTTCCTTTGTTCATATTTCCACCCTGTTGACAACTCATCCATACAATAATAATTTATTTCATTGCATAATTCTGTCACCCCTATTCACTTTATACTGTTTATAAGGAAAAACACAGTTTTTGTTCAGCCAAGAAATATTTCTTTTCAACGACTTCATTTTCAAGTAGTACAGTCGTATTTATATTACGGAAAAAGGCATTAAGTGGCACTAGAAATTGCTCAGTCACTATACACATGATAAGAATAAAGATAGTTAAAGTGATTTACTAAAGGGGGGTAGAATTAAAGTGGATGAATTACAAAACTTCTAAAGTTTATTAAATAAGTGAATTGGTAAAAGGATTTTAAAAATAGTAGGTCAATTGCTGTCTAAAAAATTAAGAGTAAGACGATGATAACAATAAAGACGGCGAAAGTGAAGTGAAGTGGAATGAATTCAAGTGATAAAATAGAATAAAATAAAAGAAGGAACATGGCCACTCTATGACCAAGCTGAGGAAAGGGGTTTAACAAAACGTTTTTGAACACATAATTTAGACTTCTGTCCATGTATATAGTTAGAGCTTCGGCTATGTATAAGTGGAGAAATCGTAAGCTTTTGGAGTGGTTGGATTTGGTCTTGTAGATAACTTTATGGAATAAATCGCGTGGGGTTGAATGACCTGATTCCATAAGGTGTTCACACACTGGATAATATTCAGCTACACGTTTACGGAGAACACTCTCACAACGTCCATTGTAATCAGCTCCACACGAGCATGGGAATGAGTATATGCAAACAGAAGTGGACATAAGTGGTAATTTACTTTTGACGCATCGTTGAATCATATTTCGGCTGGTAAACAGTGAATGTAAGTCAACTGCAAAAAAAGAGCATTTATTTAACATATTTAGATAAACGATTTTTAATTACTTCAGAAATAGTGTCACACCAAACTCATAAACGGGGAGTCTTCTTTGGCACTGTTATTTGGCTGGGGACGGTTTCTTTCTTGATGTTTCTGTCAATAAACCTTCTAGAATATCCATTGTTTAAGAGAGTTGTGCGAAAGGCTTTCTATTTCTATGTCGACCGTGTCTACAGAGTAAATGTTCTGAGTTCTGGAGCATAGAGAACGGATAAGATTTCTCTTCCAGCCTATGACAATTTATCTCTTGGGTTAGTATCCTGTTCTGTGAACGAAAACATCATACATAGATGAGATTGTACAGCTAGAAAAAAAGAGGTGAAATTGCTGAAAAAAGCCTCTTTACTAAGCTAGAGATGTTTTCCTTTTTAAAATATGCCATAACGTGAAATTGATTCATTCACCTCTGTCCGAAAGTTTGTAAGTTGCTTTGTCGTTTAATCAGCCAATCAGTCAGTCAGACAGTCACAGTTTCTGCTTATAACTTACATTACTGTATTACTTTACCCTCCACCCGGAGCACCCCTCTCTCTCTCTCTGTCCCATCATTATTAAATAAAATCTGTCTGTTTTCAGTAAAATTGTTTATTTGTGTTCCCCTCTTTATTGTTTCCTTTTGTTTATTGTCGGCGTAAGAAAATGTAAACATTTATTTATTTATTTTTACAGGAAAAGAAAACTTTCCATCTTCTTGTTTCATTCATTTAGTGGTTTATTATTTGTTTATCTATATTGATTACAGAAAAAAAATATACTAATTGTCGTAACATAAAAAGATGGTAATTCTCTTCTCTTAAAATACTTACTACCTTTGTATGGCTTTTCTTCATGTCGGCTATTCTATTCTATGCTCTAGAATTATTGTTAGAAATTTCATTTCGATATGGACTAAGTAGTGTACTGGCTAATTAATGTGCTTGTGTTCGTGTCTGTGTGTGCTACGGTATGTGCGTGCAATGGTTGCGAAAATTTCCTTTTTGATCATTTATTATTAGTGATCGAAATGGTTGGAGGTAATAGATAGGAAAGCCTGTTTAATTTAGCCTTTGTGCTTGTCCATACTTGTCAGCAAGGTGTATCTGCAACCTCGTGGGTGATTGAGACCTGTGTCACCCCATCATCGCCTTCAGAGACGTTACCATTGAGCTATTCGGGTGTTGGGGGGAGGACTGACGTTTGACCTCTTGTAGAGGATTGCAATGAATACATGAATTTCTCACTAGGCGAGTAACCAGTTTCGTCTGTCTTAGTGTGTTGGTTTTGACCGAAATCTATCAGTAAATTTCGTAAGGTTGTAGTAGTCATGAAGCTCAGTGTGACTTTTCATCATAGTGTATCGCCTTTATCGACGAGCAGTGTTTGCCGACATTAGATTAGGCTGGTAAAGCGTTAGGGGGGTGGTCAAACCATAACCTGTCATCAGCCCATGATTGATTGATGTTTGATGTTACTCAACAACCAATCGCAATCCCATGCAGTTGGCAATGAGCTACACATATTGTGTGAGGGCTAGTGGATACTACCTAGCGGCTCAAACCTCGGTAAGTGGAGGTGGATCCGAATCTGTGGCCCCGTGGTTGGAAGTCGAATGCCTGAACCATTGAACCACAGCTCCACATTAGTTCATGAAGACTCGGAGTGTTGGTTTGAGTCACATAGGGAGATACAGGTTGAGAGTGCTCGGGATGGTAAGAACCGGTGGCTAGAGACTATTGGTTTTATGGCGTAAAATCTTTCTCAATGGCGCAGATACACATTCAGCCTTTGTAGGCTCACACATCCATTCAACCGTCGTATTTTTTTCCACCTTACTATTCTTTCTCCCTCACATTTCTGCTTGCTATAGTTCTTCTGAATTTCTTTTTCTCTACCTTCGTGCGCTACATGTTGTGTGGCAACTTTAAATGCTGCACTTATATGCAAGGTTCTATAGTGCAACTGAGTCAGTTAGTATCTGTTGTGTATGTATGTGTGTGTATGTGTGAAGGGCGTGATCATTTTGTCATTGGTACTTGTAATTGTTATGGATTGATAGATTGATTGATAAGGCTTACACTTCCAATTGTTATTCATATTTTGAGGTTTGCATTAATTTCACTTGCTAGCTGTTGATAGGCATTGGTAGTCACTGAATTCCAGCCCAAGCGTCTGAATAGCCAACAAGCTTGGTGTCATAATCTGAAGGTCCCAAGTTAGATGATTCCTGATAGAGTCGTGAGTGTGTACGGGTGATGAGTCCCAAAATGGGATGAAACATCTGTTCACAGTGCTCCCTGGTTTTCAGTGATCTCTCCAACTGATTAAATCTAACAGTTGAGATTTCCCATTTGTATCAGAGTTAGTGAAGTCTTATTTTAAACGGGAGTCATTCAAGAGTAGCAATCAGCCATTCTCTAGTTTCTTATTAACCCTCACTGTGTTAATACTTTATTAGTATTACAAATAATAATTGTATGTATTTGTTTTGTTTTCTTTTCAGCTAAACTATGTGATATTGATGGTGTTAAACCATTGCTTACAAATCCTTTATCAGATAATTGTAAAAGAACTGAATCGAATAATAGTAGTAATAACAGTAATAATAACAATAATAATAATAAACCACATCATTTATTCAGTGTGGCTGCTCTTACCGATGAAGTTATGCACCACTCACCTCATTCAACATCAGATGATTATAAGCCCCAGTTAACGAATATAAAATCACCAAAACCTAGCCAAACTAATAGCAATAATAATAATAAGAAACGAATGTATAGACGATCAGAACAATCCGATACTCCATCATCTGCTTATGATAATTATGATAAATCATCATCTATTACACATTCCCAGCGTGAATGCGCTACATATACAGACCGGTGTACTACTATCACTACAGATAACAAAAATAATGAAACGCCTAAAAGTGGAATGATGATGAATTTAACCAGTCGTAATAACAATAGTAATAATAATAATAATATTGATCGAATATATGATAATATGTCAAAATATTCTTCACTACCACTGTCCTCCTCATGCTGCGTTGCCTCTTCCTCCTCCTCCCCATCATTGTCATCTGGTCATCATGTGGTATCATCAAATCAAAATTTCAACATGAACAAGATGATGTCATCCGGACAGCGTAATTCTTCCATCGATGTATCATCGTCAGCAAGTCATGCACATAAATTGTCGAGAGCAGGTAGTGGGGAAGGCATGTTAAATTCCATGCAGCACAATTTACAATTCAATCAATTTAAACCAATGTCGTCAGTAGTACAGTCAACGTCAACAAAACCATCATCATCAGTATCCTCGACATCGTCAGTGTCGACAAATATCAACTCAAATCCGCCACTACTTCCGCATCAAAATTTATTAAAACAATTCATGGGTATTGACTCACAAACAGCCAACCAGTTGTTTAATGATCCACGTTTTATGGAATTGTATGCACTAACTATGGCTACATTAAATGGCAGCAGCACCGGTGGTCGTGGTGTTGATGGTAAGGAGCCTTTGTCATCATCACATCGAATCCCATTGGTGAATCTTGAGAATACAACTTCAAATCCAATTAGTAATTTTAGTCAAAATAACAATAATAATAATAGTAATAACAATAATGCGAGCAATCAAATTAGAAATGGATGTATCAATGAGTATTCGCGTAGTGATCCATCATTACTTTTGACGGAAACAATGTAAGTCCTTCTGTTACATTGTGTTAATTACTTACAACGGTTATTGATTGTTTGTTTCACCAGAATACATAACTTTTACTTACAGTAAAAGTAGGGGAACTGATTTCTATAAGGTTTTTATTGAGATGTCAGTGTTTATCATCTCATTGACTGTCATCCATTAGATGTGACTGGAATAATGCTTGTATTAATTAAGGTGTCGGTGGTACAGCGGTTAGGACTCTCGCCGACTATGCACATGGTCCGGGGTTTGATCCCCTGCCGACGCACAGCCGATATCAATGGTCGGCCTGCAAAATTTGAGCTACCGATATCACATGCTGAAAATTCCATACTTGTACCAAAAATACGGTATGGAATCAAGCTATAATAAAAAAAATTAAAGGTTGTATTGTTTGTTCGATAAGCTGTGTAATCGTTTGTTGATTCTAAATGTGACCTGATGTATCCTATGTACAGAAAGGTCATGTGGAGTAAAAGTCTAGGTTATGGCAAGAGTCGAACTAGAACTGGTCTTCAAATTAGTAGTTCGGTGCTATACCAGCTGAGTTGCATGGCCCGAACTGCTAACCACGTCGTTACCACCTTATCGGAATTATCATCGTTTAGTTGTGTTGGAAAAAGACTAACATAATCCTTGTTTCACCTCTTAGCCCCTAATCGATATCATTTTATTTGCCTATTTCTCTCTTCGTAAAGAAAGGTCAATTATTTTCATACTTAATAGAAAAAAAAGAAATTGTTAAAAACAAACAAGCAAATAAACATAAATAATAACAATAACAATCGATTTTAACCCAAAAATTGTTCGTTGTTGTTTTTTCCCCCCCTCCATTTCATCTCTTCAATAAGACACATTTCGCATTTACATTTTTGTATTCGTTTTGTGAGTTTCTCTTATATACCACATTGCCTTTCCTTTCCTTGTTGTATAGTTTTCTTCTCTCTGTCTGTCTCATCTTCCGGTTCATCTGTACACAAGATGATGAATAAATTAATTAAGGCTTTCTTGTAAAGTGTATTGTTGTCTAGCTCCCTCCTTAGTGTATAGTGTATATACTATTGACCTAGTTCTTTCTGTCAATCAAAAAAACAAACAAAAAAAAAACACAACCCAACTAAGCAGTGGGTGATTTGACATGATAATAGTGAGTGAAGTTTATGGCTTTAATAAAATTGAATAATTTGAAATTTTGTTTTGAATACATATACAGATATACATGAAGTGAGCATTGTTGGTTCTCTGGTAGAAGGCTTGCCAACCACTCTGAAGGTCAGGGTTCGATTCTCGCGACCAAAGCACTCCAACCCCCTAGCCGCCTCCTCGCTTAGTTTCCTAGCCTGTAGTAAGTCCCGAAAAGAAGAAAGGTTATGAGTGCCGCTAGCAGTCCCTATCCTGTAAGAATAACACCACTGCTTTACTGAGAATGCAAAGCTTTTAGGCTTGAAGTTTTATTTCCCATTTAGAATGAAAGACATAAAAACAAAGTATGTTAACTATTGTATGCATGGTAAAGAAAAGTTATAATTGTAGTACACACATATGCACACTGATGAATACTAGTCATTTGTCGGAAAGGAAAAAATTGGAAAGATTTCAACAATTATTTATGTTACTTTTAATTTTTTTTTTAAAGATTTATAGCTTACTGGTATTTAGACCGTTGATTTTCACAAATAAGTAGGTGGAAATAGTCTTGGTTCCTGACTGTCTGACTGATTGATTAGGCTGTCAACATAGAACTTTCCACAAAGAGACAGGAGTCCAAGTCACCACACTCCCTGTAACACACATAAAAGTAAAGAAGAAAAATGTAAAGAAATTATAATGAATGGGGGTGGGAATGGGGTAAGGGAAGAATAATTATCCCACGAAGAATAATGAAGATTTAATGTCTGAGAGTTCATAAAGAGTAAATGCATCTCCGCCACTGGGAACGATTTTGTGCCATATTGTCAACAGTCTCACTCCAATAAGTTCTTTGTATCTGGAGGACCCTAGTCAGACTGCATACATCTCCCTACATGGGTAGCTCAAACCAACATTCAGACACTTCTTCACTGCTTGATACCAGATTTTGATTTGACCTCCCCTCACTCTTTTCTACCTCAATCTTCTTATGTTGGATAACAATTTTCGACATGGGAGGCGATAGCTTGGTACGTATCTTCACCATCTCAATCGATGCAGCCTGACAAACTCATTAATTGATTGTCCTCCCCCCCCCCCCCCACTTAATACTTTACTCCTAACCTCAATATTATCCACCATATTGTTATACTACTTAACACTGGATATAGAACACAGATACGTATGGTAACAAACAATTAGCCGCTTCAAGTTCACCACTTTTAACGTTCAAAGTTGACAACAATAAAGAAAGTTTGCATGTATACGCCACTAGCTGTTGCATTTGACTAGTTCAAACTTCACATTGTGGTGGTGTACATGCATATCAAGATTAACCCTCAGTGTATGCATTGTATGTATACCAGTTAAGTGAAGTACAGGGTTGTGTATACGTATAAAAAAAATAAGCAATATCTATTTTAGAACTATTTTTATCTATAATGTATAACTTATATACTAGAGGTAGAATTTATAAATAGTATTAGTTAAACAAAGCTATCAATCATACATCGAGACATGCTTAATTATGATAATTATAGTAATATTAATAATAAAAACATAATAATATAACCTAATAATCATCTGGATTTTCATGAATTTAACGTTAAGAATGTTCTGTTTTTTTGTGAAGGCTGTTAGATAAGATCGGATTAAAACCTATATAGATTGGGGTGAGTAATCAATCTCATCTTCGTAATCATTTGTCTTAGTGCCGACTAAATTCCGTCTGTTAACTTTGAGTGGTTGTCACCAAGCTAGAGTGACTCCTCAATATGGTCTACTTCGAATTGGTAGAAAGCCATTGACCTGGTTATCCTGCTTGATGCCACTTGTTGCCATCATGGTAGTGTACCAGCGATCTAGTAGGGACTGATATGCTTTCAGAGATTTGAACTCGCGTGGTCTAGTGTTGGTGTCAGAGACGCCATCATTAAGGTATTAGGGCTGAACTATATCAAAATACATCATCTAACACAAGACAGGGGTGAAAATGTTTGTTGGTTGATAGTAACTAGGTAACAATGGGATCCAGGCACGTTTCGTCCTATTCAGGACTCATGAATGGTGGTATTTCTACTGAGGAGACTCATAGCCAGTAGTTATCGTCCGAGGAAAATAATTGCCTGCAATTTTGATTGTGTGCATCGGTGGCATAGCGGTTAGGACGCTCGCCGACCATGCACATGGTCCGAGGTTCGATCCCCGGCCACCGATGCACTCCTTTACCTCGCTAAGCCAGAAATAATGCTGGTGAAGAGGAAAGGTTGGGCGTGAGGCTAACAAGCCCATCCTGTAAAATAAACACTGCTATAGAAACTTCAAGCCACTAGCTCGAAGCCCTATGTTCCACTGGGGAATGTGAAGGAAAAGGAAAAAAAAAAAGAAAAATTTTGACTATTATTTCTTTTAAAAGTGAAGAATTTCCAATGTTTTTCTCTGTTCTGTATTTTTCAAGATTCTTCTTATGTTCTTTTGTGTGTTGATATATCTACTGGTAATTTTTATCTGATCTACTAACTTTATTATTATTATTATTATCACTATTATTATTATTGTTATTATTATTATTACGAGTTAGTAGGTCGTATTTACACACCTGTGTATAGACACGTTCACATTCGTCTGTATACACACAGACATTTTCCTGATTTCAGTTCCACTCACTCACTCACTTTCACCCTTTTGCTCCTTTTTTTCTTCCTTTTTCGTCTTGTTTGTTTTCAATCTTTAGATTTGATAAGATGTGCTATTACTGAATAATAATGGTCTAACTATCTTTTAGTCTTTTCTATAATACTTAAGCGACTGTGACATTTAGTTTTCATATGTAAACTCATATTAATAATAATAATAGTAATAACGACTAATTACCTAGTTCACCTCCCCAGGGGATTATGTGATGTGGATATTTTATTTCATCTCAGTGTGCTATAAAAATAAAGTTAATGAACAAACACAATAACAATGACAATGATGATAGGATGAATAGTGGTATGAGCTGTTCACACAGATTTCCATTTTATTTTTACTCTTTACACAGTTATTCAATATTATTATTCTTGTGAGTTGATGCTGTGATGCTCTCCCTCCCTCTCTCTCTGTCACACACACACACACAAATACACACATGCGAAACACTAATGGATGCCTAATAGATTATCATTAGCCTTTGCTTGTTTGTGTTTGTGTGTATTTCCTTAGTTGTTATCGTTGTTGTTGTTGTGATGATGGCGACGGTTGTCGTTGATGTTTTCTTGGTGGTGAAATTGTGTTATTCAAAGTGAATAATGAAAATATGAGATGTAAACATATCACTGATATCATTACGATTACTAATAGTAGTAGTATTCATGTTAGTATTTGCTATGAGGTCAATAATTTACTTATTTCACATATAGCACACGTAATTTTTCGTTTCTTATAACAAGAAAAGGCGTTGAAGAAGAAGGAAAACGATGAAACAGAGTAAATGCGACAATAACTACAGGCACGCCTGGACGTTTAGATTGGGCTGTGGTACACTGTTGTCTTAACGCTCAGCTTCTACCCACTGAATCATGGATTTGAATCCTGCTCCACACTATATTCTTCGGCCTGGGCAACTAGGTAGTACCATTATTAGCCAACCGTCGCAGCAGACCACATACATGTGGCTTAACACTGAAGTGTTGTAGCTCGAGTTACTACATATTTTATAAGAGCACGCATAAAGGTAGGGAAAAAAGAAAAATACAGTCATAATAGGCGAAAATGTATGGGTGTAAGAAGAACTGCATGGGGAATAGTGAGAATTTAATAGACTCGGGAGTTCGTAAAGAGTGAGTGCATTGGCACCATTGACAAAAATTTTGAACGTCACCACCAGCAA